ATCCTCTTCTTCTTTGCCATCTCCCCTTCTTCTTCTTCTTCTTCTTCTTCTTCTTCTTCTTCTTCTTCCTCTTCTTCTTCTTCTTCTTCTTCTTCTTCTTCTTCTTCTTCTCCCCCTTCTTCTTCTTCTTCTTCTTCTTCTAACTCATTTTCGTTTTTGCCTTGCCGACACCCTGCACGCCGGCTGAGATCAGCCCCTCCATCTTCGTTGTCCGTATTGGGACGTCAGCAGGTTCGTTCATTCTCTCCTCCTCCCACTTCCCCTTCCTCGCGACGTCGTGTTGATGCTAATCTGCCGGGTTCTTTGTCTTACTGACAGCCTGCTCTGCCACGTCGGCAGCGTTCGTCAATCATGTGTGGACCGCACCAGATCAGCCAGAGCAGACCTGGCTTTCCAGTGCTGACCGATTCGGATCTGCGGCCAGACCCCTACCAAATGCTTGTGGCTTGACAGCCACAAATGTCTGCCGACAGGCTTATCAGCGTCAATGTTATACTGCATCATATTTTGTTACGATTGCTTATCAGCTTGACACCGTTGAAAATCAGTTGTTGTATGACCATAAATTCCCATAATGGCCCACCTCCTGAGGGTAGTAACCATACTACCTCAGGGGGCTTTACTGTAAATGTCTTACAGTTAGCGTTCCACAGTCGCAACCTTCTTATGCACCATGCGACGCCAGGCGATGACCTTAATGGCCATCCTCATATTTCTGGCTATGCACCATGCAACGCCAGGCGATGACCTGAATGACCATCCTCATATTTCTGCCTGCATTTTGTGCAGTCCCGGGCATTATATGGCACTTGTTCGTGCAGCTGCCCAGTGGGAACTGTGGGATTGTGGGATGGTGATTCAGGCTATTTTAATCAAACATAAATGATTTTTTGTGTGCATTGCGGAATCATACTTTATTGACCGACTGTCGTGCGACACCTGTCGGGACAGAGACGCGGTGCGCCTTGGCTGTGGAATTCATCATCTATGCCATCGCCATTATCAATCTATTGCGGCCGCCGCCGTCTGTGCCGAAGGGTGTCCAACATTTCCTCATTGTACACATCCCTATCACCCAGATATTCGTTGTCCTTTTTGTGCGCAAGGACAACGGTGTCCTTTTTCCGCATGTGGATGACAGGTTGAGCGCTAGCTGCATGATGCCGCACTGTGATGAACGTCCTGTTGTTTTTTTGACATGTGGACAGCATGTCCTTTGTCAGGACTGTTTTGAGGGGATGATCCGTGCTAGCCGTCCTGCTGAATGCTGTGCTGGCGCAGCTCTCCTTGGGTATCCTTGTGAACATCCATGTCATCCTCAGCATTCCTGTCCTATCTGCCGGGGTGGGGGCTCCTCTTCCTGATTGGCCAATAGAATCAAGCAGGTCAAGAGCAACAGTGATTGTATGACAGATAAAGCTTTCGACACTACAAACAGATACGGAATTGAAGAAAGAAGAAATAAAAAATGGAAAAAACGAAAAGAAAAAAAGAAGAAAAGAAAAAAAGAACAAATTGCTGAAGAAAAGAAAAAAAAAAACAAGAAAAAAGAAAATAAGAAAAAAATATGTTGAACTTTGTTGTGACAGTGGCAATTGGTTTATCTGTGGGATGTGTCATTTGCTTTGTTTGACTGATAGGCCTTCCTCTTCCCTTGTCCTTTCTTTGACTGGATCCCTTTCTCCTTCTCTTGCCTCTGTGAGGTCTGGTTTCCTCCTCCTTTTCTTTACCTCTTTCTTTGCCTTTTGGCTGCGCGCAAGTGGGTCCTTGTGACACACAGGGATGGGGGCAGTCAGCGCTCAACCTGTCATCCACATGGCTGGCCTTGTACGTAAGAGGTTATGAACAGGCGAAGCTTTCCTTCCTTCTTTCCTCGTTTTGTTTTGTCTTTTTCCTCCTTTGCGCGCCGATTCACAGTGTGACAATATATATATGTAGAGAGAGAGAGAGAGAGAGAGAGAGAGAGAGAGAGAGAGAGAGAGAGCTACTGTCTTCCTTCGGAGATGACGCACGCTTATCATGAATGTATACAAGCGATCTTTCCGGTCTGATTCAGTCATAATGAGGGTGCGTTATGATCGGGGGAAGATGGTAGTTCATGTTTAGCTGGTACTTTTATAGGCCGATTGTCATCCCCTCCGTACAACTAGCTGTGTTGCACTATTTGCATGGAATCATGGAGCTATAAACATTAAACGGTAGCTAAGGGGATAAAAGGCGGGCTAGACAAATAGAATTATGAATAGCAGTTAGCTGTGTTGCAGTATTTGCATGGAGCGTTAAACATTAAATAGTAGCTGAGGGAACGAAAGGCGGGCTATACACATGCACTATCAATAGCAGCTAGCTGTGTTGCACTATTTGCAATGAGGCATAAAGTAGCAAAACGACATTTTAAAATGATTAAAGTTCATTAAATAGTATCTGAGGGGATAAAAACACAAGCTACGCAAATGCCAAATAGAGTTATAAATAGCAGCTAGCTGTGTTGCAGTATTTGCATGGAGCTATAAACATTAAATCATAGTTGAGGGGATAAAATGCAGGCTATACAAATAGAACTATAAATAGCAGTTGTTGAGACTACAAAATCGGGCTATCCAAACAGACTAACTATAAATAGCAGCTGTTGAGATTAATTAAACAAAATCGGGCTATCCAAACAGACTAACTGTAAATAGGAGCTGTTGAGATTGATAAATCGGGCTATCCAAATAAACTATAAATATTAAATAGCCGTTGACCAACGAGCCTAGCTCAGTTGGTACACCCATGAACCGTTGAAATACGGACCTGAACTCCAATCCTGCTGGACGTTGATGAATGGAATAAATCATTCTGAATCACCTAGGGCCGCTCCGATCAATGAATATATCACAAGGTCATCACCCTTAAAAAAACAATAAATAAATCAATAAATAAATCAATAAATAAATCAATAAATAAATAAATCAATAAATAAATCAATAAATAAATCAATCAATAAATAAATAAATATAAATAAATAAGAGATCATTCTGAAAGACCAAAAAAAAGAGAGAGGCAGAGAGTCGAGCTGCATCCTCGCCCACATTCTGAGAGAGTCAAGCTTTCAAAAGAAAAGAAGTGTGTGTGTGTGTGTGTGTGTGCGTGTGTGTGTGCGTGTGCGTGTGTGTGTGTGTGTGTGTGTGTGTGTGTGTGCGTGTGTGTGTGTGTGTGTGTGTGTGTGTGTGTGAGAGAGAGAGAGAGANGAGAGAGAGAGAGAGAGAGAGAGAGAGAGAGAGAGAGAGAGAGAGAGAGAGAGAGAGAGAGAGAGAGAGAGAGAGAGTATTAAAGCAAATTGGAATTGTAGAGATATAAGAGCAAATCATGCAAAATATCGTTGGATATTAAGGGTATACTCACACTAGGACTTTTTTGACTCAGCTCTGGACGTTACTGCAGTCAGATGCATTCAGGTTTGGCCGTAATTGCAGTCAGGTACATTCAGGAAAGGGCTAGTGCAAGTATGCCCGAAAAGCCAGCAGATCCTAGTGGTGAAAGTGGCCAGGTTCGTGCCTGCTTAGCATAAAGATATCTTTTCTTTTCTTTTTTCCCCGAAATTCAATATTTATTTCATATAAATCAACTTAGAGGCAGGGGACCTCACATCCATCCCCGAAAAGGTTACTAGAAGCATCATCCTTGGATTAAAAAAAAAAGGAAAAAAAAAGAAAACGAAGCATCATCCAGCTTAGTTTTCATGAAGATATCTTCAGAGGGCTGAGAATGATGCGACACACAAAAAAGAAAACAAAAAAAAAGAAGAGGAAAAGTAACCAATCATGATGCGAGAAAAAAATCAGTGGCAAGATCCGACTACTGGTAGGCTAAGCAGGGAGGATGGGATTTTACCTCACTTAGTAATCTGGACGTGCCTGTGGGGAAGTGCAGAAAATGGCTGTTGATCTGCTTCTCTGCATCTTTGCCTGAAACCCATCCAGATTCGGGCGTTTAATCCAATCGTCTTTGATAATGGGACCTTGCTCAAGGTGTAGCCTGGAAGGAAGTGGTAGCCAGGGCCCCAGCTGCCGACTCGCCCCACCCCCGAAAAGAAAGAGGAAAAACAAGAAAAAAGAAGAATTGGAGTTAACAAAGCCCTGGCTGGTGAGTTCTGCACATGTTGGAATCAAGACATGATGGATGGAATTGTTCATGATTCAGAGTTCAAACTGCATCATGAGCGAGTCCCAAGTCCATACTCACACTATCTCTTCACCTGAATAGAACACATGGTCATTCATTGTAGCTGTATCAGGAGTCTAGACTGAGGATAGAGCCCTACTGTCCGAAATAGGGCCGGTACAACAATAATCAATTGGTGCATTACCAAAGGAGGGGAGGGGGAGGGGGGCGGGAGCAGTATGTGTTTCCGCATTTTTGGTTTTGGAGTTTTAGCAAAACGGTGTACTTCTGAAAATTTTGACTACCAGCTGGCCTAGCTCAGTTGGTGCACCCCTGAACTGTTTATATCATACTTGCAACCGCACGAGCCGCACATTCGTGCGGAGTTCCGTGCGGATTTCCGTGTGGGGGGTGCCTGTTTGGAATTCTGCAGGTTTTTTGTTATTATTATTATTATTTATTTATTTATTTTGGGAGGGGCGTATGACGGGAGGATGGGCATATGGCGAGGAGAGGGGGATATGGAGAGGAGGAGGATGTGGACGAGGAGGAGGATGTGGACGAGGAGGACGATGAGGATAGCGAGGACGAGGAGGGCAACGAGGAGGAGGAGGAGGAGAGATGGGGGAGGAGAAGAGATGGACAGAGGGAAAAGAGGAAGGGCAGGAGGAGGAGGACAAGTGGGAGGAGGAGACATGGATGGCGAGAAGGGAAGGACACGAGGAAGGGAAGGAGACCAGGAGGCATGGAAGACGAGGAAATACGAGGAGGAGGAGACAAGGAGGATGAGGAAGTGGAGGAGGAGGAGGACGAGTCGGAGGAGACGAAAAGGAGAAGGGAGGAGGAGACATGGAGGACGAGAAAGGGGAAGGAGGAGCGAGGTGAGGCAGCACTCCTGCAAAAAAAAATTTCACCGCGCTAGAATTTTGGCGGGGGGTCTCGAACGCACCGTTTCGACCCCCGGCCTTCTTTCTTTTTCCGGAGGGGGGTGATGGGTCGTTTCCCGCACATGTCGTGCACCACATGAGATCGGTTGGGCGCGTGCGCCGTACGTCAGGAACCACGCGCAAGATGTGCGCTCGCAAGTATGGTTTATATATACAGATCATCAGCGGCCAGCGACCTAGCTCAGTTGGTAAGGCACACAAGTGGCATTCAGGAGGTCGTGGGTTCAATCCCCATTCAATTTGGCTTCATGTAGCTTCCTGGGCAAGCTTGGTGCCCGCCACCTAGAGATAGGTCGGTGGTCCCCCCGAGCGGCATTGAGCAGAGACTGCTGATGTTCATAGGGGGAGGGGGCTGGAGGGGAGGCACAGGGACTGTGCAATCCAAGAAGCTCGGTCCTGGTGCTACCGGCTGACTCTTGGCCGGTATTGCCCATCTGATGTAGCAGGTACGTGGCTGCGACGTGGGGCAGCTCCCCATGTTTCCTCGTTGGAGGCTTGAGCATGCATGTGGCTGCTACGGGGTTCCCCGTTATACTATAATGACAATAAAAAAGGGCCTGAAAGGGTGTCCTGTCCAGATTCCACAGGTAATTGAATTGGTTGGGCTTAAAAGAATTATTAGACTCAAAAAAAAAAAAAAAAAAAAACAGACCTGAGTTCGAACTCCAATGGAAAAACAAGAAAAAAAGAAGGTTAAAAAGATTTTCTTTTGATTTTTTTTTTAAAGTAAAAAAGAAAGATAAAAGAAAATCATGACATAGGGTCTCACGCCATCACTCTCAGGGCCGTTGATCATCATAATCTACATCTAAAAAAAGAGGATTCTTGTAAAGTGAGACTTGGGCCCTCGATTTCACATTTTTCAAGAGTGATACTCCACTCCGCTCGACTCTCAGGGGCTCGCTCCACTACTCACCAAATGTGCAAAACGGGAACGAATCATCCGCGAGAACATCAAAAGATACACCGCCGTATTTTTTGTCTTTTGTGCATGTGGTGAGTAGTGGAGCAGGGCCCTCAATCCGACACTCTCATCAATAATATATTGAGAGCTGTTGGAAAGATTTCGAGGAGAGAGATCTTTTTTTTTTTTTTTTTTTAGCTCTCAAATTTCTTGAGAGTCCTCAGCCTGCACCCTCTCGAAAATAGAGCGCCCTGGAAACCAAAGTATGTGGCTTGCAATGGATGCACTTGCCATTTGTGCGGTCCCACAGATGTAGGCTGAGGATTGGCTCTCACCCTGTTGGGTGTCGGGTGTCGGAACGCACAAATGAATTGTGCGTTCATTGCAAGCCACCAAAGTACGCGGCTTGCAATGGATACCCTTGCATTCGTGTAACTGTTTCCACATTCCCGCAGGTGTAGGCTGGCAATGACACATTCCCACCACTATATATGGCTTGCAATGGATGCACTTGCCATTCCTGCTGTCCCACAGATGTAGGCTGAGGATTGGCTCTCACCGTGTCCGGTGTTGGAGCGCACGAATGAAGTGTGCGTTCATTGCAAGCCACCAAAGTAGGCAGCTTGCAATGTGGATGCCCTTGCATTCGTGTAACCGTTTCCACATTCCGGCAGGTGTAGGCTGGCAATGACATATTCCCACCACTATATATGTAGCCTGTGGTGCTCAGAGAAAGGCATGGAGATGTCTGCTCTTTCGCACATCTGCTCTTGCTCTCACCCATGTTTGGAGGATTGGGTACATGTGTGGTGGGAAATTGGGAATGTGTCATTGGCACTCTACACGCTCTGGTTCAGGGCGTATGGTCTGTGTGATTTCTGGGACAAGGAGTTAACTACGTAGTGATCACAGGAAGGATGAGACTGAGCCGTACGGAGGGAGGTGGTCTGTAGCAGAGCGTTTCTGTCTGTGGTTGACAATGTGGTTGTACTGTGATAAGTAAAAGAATCCTCGACTACATTGTTTCAAGGGAAAACTAGGGCGCAGTCAAGGTTTTCAGTTTGAAATGCGCTTCAGTTTCACGGTTTCGGCGAGCGAGCAAATTTTACTCTGAAGCGAGGAGGAAAATCTTGAAGGTATCCAACCCGGCTGTAGGGTTGGGTGGGGATGTGTTGTATTCGAGGGATGCCTGAAGTGGATTTAGAACTGAAAACGTGATTGCGCCGTAGTAACCCCTTGTTACAATTTCCTTCTGTGTACTCACTATAGTAATCAACAGGTGAGGCAGGTAACGCACTTCTTCGGGGTTAGGGCGTTCGGGTTTGTATGGCCCGTCATCACCCGAATAGAACGCCCGGTCATTATACCTGTTTTTTGTGCAATTTTCAGTCCAGATACGGCTAATATAATGACCGTGCGTTCTATTCGGGTGAAGAGTCTGAAGACGGTTACCGTAGCCGGAGAGAAGGTAGAAGATTCCTCAATAGTACCCCCCCCCCCCATCTTCCCTCCCTTCTTTCACAAGGCTTATGGCTTGACATCATGGTTGACTGGGTCAGGATTAGAAATGGCTCTACTGCTTCCACGGAGGCAGCAAAGGTCTTGTTGCAGAACAAATGGTCTTCCCCCTTCAAATGGGCCTTTTTTGAGCCATTTGAAGGGTGCTGATTTCTCAGAGGGTAACAAGCTGTTTTACAGGGGGAAAAGAGAACAAGCTGATTTCTCAGGGTCCATTCAATGATGATATCTCAAGGCTGTCGCCCTTTTTAAAGAGGAAGATAAAAAAAGAACAATTTTCAGTGATGGAAGGGAGGGAAGACATTCAGAAAGTGACCATTAAACCACTACTGCCTCCCCTTTGGAAAACTGTGCCGTTTGACGTGAAAGTCGATGGCATACAACGCGACTGTCAAGCGCAAGGCTCAAACCAATGCGCGTAAAGAGGAAAGTTCAGTACGGAACTGCACGACCCAAGAGAGCGAGAGAGAGAGAGAGAGAGAGAGAGAGCACCATGAACCTCGCTTCAGAAAGTTATAACAGCGAAAAACTTGGAGCGAGGTCGGCGACTCGGCGATACTCCCGACATGTTTCGGCCACCTCGCCGAAATGGCCATCCTCAGGGGATGATTACGCTTGTGAGGTTATTGCCCGTAGCTTCTTAAGTACTAACCTCATAGTGAATATCTCTCCGTCACTTAAAAAAAAACACAGTTTCCCATGGGACATGAAGTACTCCAGAATGATCTTCTGCTAAACTTTTTTTTAGATCAATTTGACCAAGGGCTATAGTAGAACCTAAGAAAGCTGTAACAATACCAATGCATGTAATTACATTCATTATGCAAGGAAACATCTGGAACAAAGGAAATAAATGAGCTACAAGAAATATACCTGCAGCAACCATGGCGTAGGTTTTCCATTGCATCTGGTAGCCAATATATGCGAAGGAAACTGAGCTGATTTTGTTATAGGTCCACAAAAAAGAAGAAAAGAACAAAAAATAAAAAAATACAAATAAGAATTATTATTCGAAAGAATCTTTTCAGTACGTTTAGTGACAGTAAGAAAATCAAAGCTATTTGTAAACCAATAGAATCCTAAGATTCCTAAAAGCAAACAAAAATCTCCTATTCGATTAGTTATAAAAGCTTTTTGACATGCACTAGCAGCGTTAGGTCTAGTAAACCAACAACCTATTAATAAATAAGAACACATACCTACTAGTTCCCAAAAATATATATATTTGAAATAAATTAGGACTTAGAACAAGTCCTAACATAGATGCTGTAAATAGACTCCAATAAGCAAAAAATCTGACATAACTCTGATCATGCGACATATAACCATGGCTATAGGACATAAGTCACATAACTAAAAGTTTGGTACTATGGGACAAAAAAAAGAATACTATCCCAACCGAGGTGAACAAGCTATTCAACAACAAGACATCAGGAAAAAAAAAGCTACAAAATTATAGCATTGATTTTGTATGTATTTTCTGTGGAAATTGTCTTGAATATTGTCCAACTAATTGTTTATCTATGACTGAAGAGTATGAGCTTTCTGTATATGATCGACATGAACTCAATTATGATCACATAGCCTTGGGACGGTTACCTTTTAATTCTTTTCAAGATGCTTTAAAGCATCTTGAAAAGAATATGAGAACATTCCATTGATTGAAAATCAAAGATTTTAATTTGATCTTTCTAATGAATAGTCATTAATTCAAAAAAGAAGAATCTAATAATCTATATAAAAAGATAATCTATATAACTTAAAGAAATCGAGAAGAATCCAGTGCGATAGGTAGGCAGGAAAAGAAGCGGGAGCGAAGGTCAGGGCTGAAAGAACCCTACCAACAGGATCGCAGACTTAAGGGAGATGTAAGCATGGGAATGGTGGGGCGTAGGCAGGAGACAAGCGGGATTGACCGGCAGGCACAAGCGGGAGCGGGAAACAGATGTGCAGAAATGGGACGACATCTACGTACGGGCAGAGAGGTAAGGTAAGTGGAGGGAAAGAGACATGAGGAGAAAGCGTGGTGGGGAAGTAGGATCGTAGCAGAAGGAAGGTTAGATCTGCAAGTTTTACCTCCTATGTGATGGCCGCAGAAGAAAAAACTTCTTTCATGAGATGGAGACAGGCAGAGACCAGAGATTGGGTGAAAGGTGGATCGAGAGGGAAACTGCCAGAAATCGCCTACACAGTCGAGAGATACGAGAGCAGGAAATCGGCGGGGCACCGAACAGGAAAAATTTATGAGACCCAGTAGTCCTTCAGCCCGAGTATTGCTTACCACGCCCCTCTAAATTTTCTATGAACAAACGGACCCAACCATCCCAGCACCCCTCATTTTTTGCTGAGAAATCTACCAATGCTTTCATGAACATCCAACCGGGAAAACGTTTCAGTCTGAGCTCGCGCTTTAAAGATGGCAACTTGAAGCATTGCCCCCCACTCCTCTGGAATCGGAGGAGTGGTCCTGGATCCGGCTGATGGCTGAGATGGCATTTGATAACTCCAATCT